TTCAACTGCATGTGTTCTGCATTCGATGTAGCTCCCAAGCTGTAACATGGTTTCATTATTTCATCATCGATTTACTTTTGTTATTTCTCATTCTAATCACTTTATTTCCTTTTGTTACTCTTTTTGTTGTAGGCAAAAGTGAAGCTAGAGCTTCCGGCGGTGTCTTGGTGTGATGAATGCGATGGGAGCACTGCAGAAGCTATTCGATCTGCTTCCCTGTTTTCAATTCAGGTTTGGCCTGATTTGGGGTTTACCCTCTATTCGCTTTCCGTGCTTTCAGATAGACTCACTCTGCTTAAGTTTCCCTTCTGTTTTTGTTGTGGTGGTGTTGGTGTCAGGTCAGCTCCCATAACGAGACATTTTTATTGTTATATCAGTTTTCCTGCTTTCTTTATCAAGTTCAGAGTTTTTGCAGCTCTCTCTCTCTTTTTACATTGGGTTATTCATTAATATCTTTGCTTGGGTATTTATATGGTCTTAAAATGAGAATTAAAAAAAACGCATAAGAGGGTGTTATATGCTTTTGTTACCGTCTCATCTCGATTGTCACTTGCAGGATGCAACCAGCCATACAGAGAGGCCGAGATGAAATGAAGAATTCTGATGTAGTCACAACTGTGGGTTTGTTGTTCAGGTACCATTAATTACTGTGTAGTTCTATTTTGTACATTTTGAGTTGCTTTTTTGTAGGACCTATTGAAAAAACAATGGATTTCTAACTTTGGCAGCTGCCAATCTATTCACTTTCAGCTTTTAGTTGTGCCCTTCTTAATTAGTCAGTGCCTGGAATGGTTCTTCCTATTTATATGGCAATGTAATTATATTGCAAACTTTCCACCTGCCATGCTATGTTCTGGATTGGTGTTGATTCATGAAAATATCCTAGGATCGGTTTAGCTACCTCAATGATGTTACATGGCTGCTGCATTTGTAATTGTTTTGAGTGAAGATTGGATTTTTCTGGTTGTGAAAATGATCGTTGGATGCTTTGATAGAAATATTTGTTTGCTATTACTTGATGAGAGAAATATGGAACTTTGATATTAAAGTAAAAAAGGGTTGATGAATAAGTTGCAATTAATGCATAATTAGAGGACCCTTGGAGTTTACAATTTTATGGAATGTGGGTTATAAGTGTGTGATGAGCTCTTAAAAGGTGTGGAGCCAGAGTTTCGGCCAAGTTTGTCCATTGTTTGACCATCAGTTGTAAATCACATGCTTGCTAGCTTCAATGAGAAACATTGTTCAGAATCAAGCCATCAGGATCCAATATAGGCAAATGCAAGAGCCCTTTCTCATCCTCGGCAATTAGTTGCTTCCTTTAGTAAGGAAATATTGAGATGGTATAATTAATCAACAACAAGAACATAATTTTCCGTTTATGGTCTTTACTGTTATATGCTCTTTCAGTCTTGCTCCGCATTTGAAAATGCAAGAGCCATTTCTCATCCTTGGCAGTTAGTTGCTTCCTTTATAAGGAAATATTGAGATGGTATAAATAATCAACAACAAGAACATGATTTTCTGTTTATGCTCTTTACTGTTATATGCTCTTTCAGACTTTCTCCGCATTTGAAAATGGGAGAAGTCTTTGTTCTTGATGAAGTTTTGTATTTCCTTTCTTAAATATGGTTTACTTGCTGAGGTGAAGCATTTTTTAAGTTTGAACATTAATTTTCTTCATTAGCCTATTATTTAAATTTTGCCAACCTGATGAAGAAACTCATATGTTGATCCTTACTTTTATCGAATGCAAACCATATATTTCTTTTCGGTGACTTCTTTTTTGTCGATTTTTTTCCCTTTTCGGTTTTGGTATGTTTCGATTTTCCAGTCGTTGGGTTCTGCAATCTAATCAGATTTTCTTTTTGGATTTTCAAGTTCGGTCAAGAGTTAGGATAAGGGAGGAACGTTCACCAGTGTATATTACTGAATGCAGCAGAGGGGATGAGGGCTAGCCACTGGTCTCTGGGTAAGCTTCTTTTTGGATTTGGGTTCTGGGTCTTGCTTTCCTTGATCCGGTTCTGATATGTTTTTGTCTTTAATTTGATTTTAGCAAAGGGAAGAAGAAAAAAAAGTCGATGTAGGCTGTCCCGAAGCTTGTCAGCAACGACAACACCAACGTAGCTGGCTGGCAAAGGTAGGAAATGTTCTAGGTGGCTTTTTAATTTAATTTCCTTTTAGTTTTTAAACATATTATGTGTTTTGATATCTTGCTCTTGCTTAATGTTCTTGCTGAGTGTCATCAAATTTATGGTTGTTCAATTTTGTCTTGCTTTGCTTTAGAGTTGACCTATTGATCTCATTCTGGACTTTTAGGGTGCAATTTCGTCCAATCTTTTGCTCAATGTGCTAGGTATTTGTTTAAAATTTTGTTCATTGATAATATCTTCTTTTGCAGTCGATTAGTAGTATGAATTAGATGGTGCTTCTCTTTCAATTGAGTCTGGATTCAAGAAGCGATTGACTGGTGAGGATGCTTTGACGCAGGCATTGGCCACCATGACTAACTTATAGCAGTGACTATGTTACTGGAGAAATACTCAACATCTTGATCAAGCTGTGACAAGTAATCCTTCAGAGATGATAGTCATTTGTGCATAATCTGAAAGGAGTTCCTTTCTTTCACCAATAGTGGTATGCGGGGAAGCCTCACACAACTGTTATCAGTTCAGACTCTAAAGCGAGGATCCTGCTTAGAAGGTCAAAATCTAGAGGCGTGGACAGGTCACAACACTTCCAAAGAGATTTCAATCTTCATGCTGAGGTAACCGAAAATTCTTGGTCACAATCTCAATACAAAATTTACTGCAATTAGTAGATTTAATCGATCTATAGATGTACCATCTTTGGGTTGCTTTGTAATTAATAAAATGTTTAGGATTACATTTAGATAGTGGTGGAAGGCTGATTGTTACATCTTTACTGCCAATGAACTTGCAAATCATAACATTGGTATAGTGAGAGCTTTATGTATAGAGCAAATCTAGAAGTGTTTGACATATGAAATTTTGCTGTAAACATTACGTTCTTTTACCGCTTTGCACATTCAACCTATATCCTTTTTCCTGTGCCCATGCTTTAACTGTTTAATTGCTCAATGATTCGCAGGTTTAGCTTACTCAGTTTGGGTGCTTACCTTCTAAACAACACATTTTGAAAGTCTTCACCCACTGGTTCCAGCTTAATCCTTTTTTTACAAGGTACTTCCTTGCAATGGTTGTTTAGATATGATTTGATTCGTTTGAAACTTCTTAGCATTGAGGTTTTGATTGCTTTTCAAACAGATAAGCAATACAAGTTTGGGTTTCAGCAAAGAAGGAAACCATAACAGACAAATCATGTTATTGGGATCGAGGTGAAGACCTGCAATTGGTGCTTTTTAACCTTCTATAGCACCTTCCAGGCATTTTTAAGGCTTTAGTCTCACACTCCGAAACCCAGCTCAAGGTAACCAGAGTTTACACTTTGACTTCGTTATTCCGTTCCCATTTTGGTTTTAAGATTGACCATGTAACTTAACCTTTTTTTACCCTTTCTCAAACCTTTTACAGATATTAAAGATGACTAATGTTTTATCTAATTTCATCCATAATCTTTTGTAGTTAGTATTACAGTAAAAAAAATGAAAGGTCAAATCTTGCTCGATACATTGGTCTGGTGGCCATCACTGTTTGCAAGTTTTGTTGCCTTTATGGTTGCTGTTGTAAGCTCCATTGTATGAGCCTTCCTAGAAATCTATTTAGGTTTGTAGACAGATGCGTGAATGTTGGAGAATTCAGGTGGACATTAATTGTGTGGTAATCTATAGCACTATCAGTGTGATTTTGTCGAGCTTCGTTGGTTTTGATGTGTCAGTTGGGTTCTTAGGAGTGTCGATATGCTTCATTACAACATGTTCTACATCCTAAATGAACAACTTTAGTTACCACATATCTAATGCTCATATTATGTTGTTAGAACAAGGATCGAAATCATAATCCGATCATGCCTGCAATTCGGTAATAATACAAGATGAACAATAGTTTTACTAACCACATATCTATTACTCATATTATGCTTTTAGAATAAAGATTGAACTCACTAATCCAATCATGCCTACAACTCAGGAATAATACAAGTACATATGTTTTGCCATCATGTCTTGGTTAAGGAAAACTTCAGCAGGTTGGTGTCATTCACTGACGTTATAGATTTATGCAAAGAGGTAAGGACTATAGCCTACATATATTTTTGCCTCGGGACCTCTCAGTTTGACTAATTAAGTTCCTTTTACTTCATGTCACGTTCCAGCAGTCTTCTTACAACCTCTGTATGTGTGGTTGGTTTAATCCTTGCTGGAATCCTACCGCCACATAAAAGAAGGTTGAGCTCTTGGAGTTTCAAGGGAAGGTGGATTAGGAAAAGACACTAGAATTCTGAAGTCTCTTCAAATCAGTAGGAAAGGTTAGGTCAGCCGCTATAGTGCTTCATAATCTTGATTTGTCTTGCTTTCATTTAAACTGGTCATGTATCAATATTCAATACTGAACTTAGTCAAAAATTTAAGAGCCTGACTTTCATTTGAATGCCAGTTAGCATATTCATTGTTCCATTGGGTTAATTGGATACTTTTTATGTCTGTAGCAGTCACTTATTTTATTTTGCTTTGAGTTTTTATAGTTCAGTAATTCTCAATATAGCCATTTACCCAACACCTTTTGTGCCATCAAACAATCCGCTTTAAATCATTCAAACAGGTGAATATTTGCTTGGGGTCAGTTCTGATTGTTTTCCTGCTGTGTCACAAGGATTCGAACAGGTGCTGCAAGCCTGCAACGGCTAATTTGAATGAAGAACTTGGTCAGGTTGATGGTGTGCTACAGGACAAATGCTCTGCATACATGAAAAAAGTTAAGTAAACCTGGCAGGAGAGTCGGTCTAATAAGTTCAATTGACTTATTGTTAGATTTATCAGGTTTCATGTAGTTTTTTGCCTGAGATATCCGCCCTTTTTGTTTATGTTTATAAATGGGTGTCTGCAATTGAAGTTGCTATCAATGGTGGAACAAAAGTTGCAGAAGATGAATTTGTTGTCTCAACAGAACTACTGGTGTGGCAGTTGCTGAAACTGGATACTAACCAGTCTGAAGGAGAAGCTCCAGTTCAACGGAAAGATCAGGTAGCCATAACTAGAAACCAACGGTAGGTTCTTTGATTAGATTGATACATTTATTCTTGAGTTAAATAACTGGAAATCCAACAACTCTTGAAGTACAACTTCTTGCTATGCTGAAGTTTTTATACTTTTGTTCACACCTTTTACATTTTCATCGTGGCACAAGGCGTGACAAACTCCTACTACTTTCTCCTCAACCACGATGCAGCAGCCGCATTATTCCAAGAATTTCGTTTGAGGTGCGTACTCGACCTCTACACCTCAAACGAGTTGGTCGCCATGAAGTTATCAGGACGTGGCATCGCCATACACGACCATGTTGAACAACAAGGCTCTTCACTTTACAACAATCGATTACCTGAATTCCGCTTGGTTTCACAATCATGTCATGTAGCATTCCCTTTTTTTGTCAGATTGTCTGGCTTTGCTTAAATTAGCAAACATTGTCCTCCTTATAACTGATGCCTTAATCTGCTTGCTTGACCACTTCCTGGTACCGTTTTTACAGGCCCTTTTTCCCTTAAACCAACAAAGTGCTTGCCTGCCTAACTAACTTTGCTCACCTATTTTATTTCCCTGCAGGCTACGCAATACCGTTGCTTAACACAAACCCTCCCCGCAGAGTCTTCACGACCGTGGTTTTACTTAGGATGTGCCTTTTGTTTTAAGACAACTAGGTAGCTTCCTGGCACTAATGATTTTTGGTGTGATGAACATGGCCAGTTGATACCTCAAGAGACCCAAATTTGCTTAGTTTAGCATCCAGCATTTTTTCCCATTACAATACCCATGAACAACGGAACTCTGAATTTTTGATACATTTTTCCAGCTACAAAGTCCATTTGACTGTCAGAGACACTACTGGTTCGGCGTACTTTATCATACTTGGAAAGACCGCTGAATATTTGCTTGGGGTTACAGATGACGAACTATTAGTGCGCCACCCCCAACACCATGGATATTTCCCTCCAAAAAATGTGGCCATGAATGGACTTTGGTTTTCGTTGCATGTTCAGCTTCCTAAACCTGGATATTTGCCTGAAACCCTCTAGAGTTTACCATCCTTTCTGCAGTCGACCACAGCCAGCCTCAGCAATAGACTCATCAAAACAGTCTCTACCTGTGAAAAAAGTAATTGTGCTAAGATGTTGACAACCATAAATCTTTTCCTGTATCTATCCGGGAAAAAAAATAATAAGCAAAACTCTGATCATCAACTATATACCATATTACCTCTGCTGTTGTGAGTGCTTGCATGACATGCAATTATGCTTTTCGACCCTCCTGCCTATTTAACTAATACTCCTTTTGTACTGCTATTTGAAGTTTCAAGGGGGAAATGTAAATATCTCCACAAATTTCAAGTAGCGGTTAGGTACCTTTCACTTACCCCACCATCACCAGATAGCACTCTTCTAAACCACATCCAATGCAAAACAGCAAAATATCTAAGCTGTACTTTCCCAATCAATAAATCTAACAGCAACCAATGTCTCTTGCTCCATTATATGGTAACACCCGCCTTGCAATATTTAATAAGTTTGTGTATCTGATATGCACATAAAAACTATTAAGGTCCACAAAAATCTCCAAATTTCCACTAAAAACTCTACATTTTCCCAATATAACCTCCCCGCCGCGAAGCGCGGGCTTCCTTACTAGTATGTATAGATAATGTAAGAAATTGAGATAAAATGAGTCTAGAACGGGGCGGAACAGGGCAGGGCGGGTCGGAAGTAGATACTCATGTCCCGTCCCACGCTATTGCGGGTCGGGTAATACCCGCCCCATCGCGGATCAGGTCGGATAATACCCGCGGGGCGGGTTGAAATTGCCATCACTAACTAGGTCCAGAAGAGTTAGAGGAGATCACAAAGGATTACTAACCAAATCAAATGGGTAGATAACGTTCATACGTTTTAGAGATGTAAATTGTCAAATCGATTAGAGTTGATCTAGATCATCATGTATGCTTTCCAATAATAAGACTTGAATGAAGATGTAATTTATCCTTGTTTGCCGGACTGCAAATTGAGCGAACCTATGAGCAAAAGCTTTGATTATCTTCGGATTTAGTTCGTTTACACCGTTCGGTATTGTTCGTCAATTGTTTTCATTGACAAATTCAGGCCGCGGGTATAAGAAATATACTCGAAAAATGGAGAGTATCGAACCATCCTTGCTTCTCCATGGCATTTGGGCTTAGCCCCAGTTCGCCTCAGGCCGAATCCTTGCTCCGTAGCCTCCAAAATCCAACCAAAATGGCCATTCCAAAAAATCGCCCGAAATCGGTGATGGTACCCCTTTGGGAGCTGCCAAAAATTGGCCCGGAACAAATACGCCCAAATCAGTGCTTAATAGACTTATTCGTCGGTGGAGGATACCCTCGCGCCGAATCCTTGATCCGTAGCCTTCTAAATCCAAGGAAAATGCCCTTCAAAAAAAAGCGCTCGGAAAATTACGAAAATGCCCCCGGAAAAATTTTCGCCCAAATCTCAGATTAATTCACTCCATCGTCGCTGGAGGATAGCCCCAGTTCGCCTCAGGCCCAATCCTTGCTCCGTAGCCTCCAAAATCGAACCAAAATGGCCATTCCAAAAAATCGCCCGAAATCGGTGATGGTACCCCTTTGGGAGCTGCAAAAAATTGGCCCGGAACAAATACGCCCAAATCAGTGCTTAATAGACTTATTCGTCGGTGGAGGATACCCTCGCGCCGAATCCTTGATCCGTAGCCTTCTAAATCCAAGGAAAATGCCCTTCCGAAAAAAGCGCTCAGAAAATTACGAGAATGCCCCCGGAAAAATTTTCGCCCAAATCTCAGATTAATTCACTCCATCGTCGCTGGGGGATAGCCCCAGTTCGCCTCAGGCCGAATCCTTGCTCAGTAGCCTCCAAAATCCAACCTAAATGGCCATTCCAAAAAATCGCCAGAAATCGGTGATGGTACCCCTTTGGGAACTGCCAAAAATTGGCCCGGAACAAATACGCCCAAATCAGTGCTTAATAGACTTATTCGTCGGTGGAGGATACCCTCGCGCCGAATCCTTGATCCGTAGCCTTCTAAATCCAAGGAAAATGCCCTTCGGAAAAAAGCGCTCGGAAAATTACGAAAATGCCCCTGGAAAAATTTTCGCCCAAATCTCATATTAATTCACTCCATCGTCGCTGGAGGATAGCCCCAGTTCGCCTCAGGCCGAATCCTTGCTCCGTAGCCTCCAAAATCCAACCTAAATGGCCATTGCAAAAAATCGCCCGAAATCGGTGATGTTACCCCTTTGGGAACTGCCAAAAATTGGCCCGGAACAAATACGCCCAAATCAGTGCTTAATAGACTTATTCGTCGGTGGAGGATACCCTCGCGCCGAATCCTTGATCCGTAGCCTTCTAAATCCAAGGAAAATGCCCTTCGGAAAAAAGCGCTCGGAAAATTACGAAAATGCCCCTGGAAAAATTTTCGCCCAAATCTCAGATTAATTCACTCCATCGTCGCTGGAGGATAGCCCCAGTTCGCCTCAGGCCGAATCCTTGCTCCGTAGCCTCCAAAATCCAACCAAAATGGCCATTCCAAAAAATCGCCCGTAATCGGTGATGGTACCCCTTTGGGAGCTGCCAAAAGTTGGCCCGGAACAAATACGGCCGCCGCGGTCGATCTGTATTCTACGCCTCGTCGGAACTTGGAGAGACTTGGTCTGCGCGAAAAGAAACGGAGGCGGCGGAGCTGGGTACGTCGTCGAGTGCGAGTGCGGCGGAGCTGGGTTTGTCGACGAGTGCGGCGGGCTGCTTCAATCGGTGGAGCTGGTTTTGTCGACGAGTGCGGCGGGGATGCTCTTCATCTCCATGGCTGAAACCCTAAATGAATTGGGGAAATGAAAGAGGAACAATACCAATCTGATTCCCCGATTTAGTTTTTTTTCCCCTTAAAAATGACGTGTCATCCCACCTGTCAATGGATGCTGAGGTGGGAAGGAAAGATACGGTGAGTTGGCAGCCAGATCATTGTTCTGTTAATTAGATTAACTGTGTCACTGACGCCGTCAAACTATGTAACGAAAATGGCTATAATTGTCATCGAACTTTCAAATTTCTGGCTATTTCTGGTATTTCGCCAAAAGTGGCTATATTTGGCAAAAAACGTAAAAGTTTTGGCTATACAAGTGTATTTAGCCTAAATTATATCCAAAAGCAAGTACCAATATTGAATCGTTATTTTTTTTCAATTTGATCTTAATCAAACCGTGGATGATCCAATTTTGGTTGGAGTCTTGGACCACGACTAACCTATTAGACCAACTAACCTGACAATTCCAAGAAAACTAAGTAAGAGTAACTACTCAAAGATTAAAAAAACAAAGACATCAAATCCCTGTAGAACCCAAATCGAGAAGGAGACGATGGGGTTTCCAAATTGGTGGTGGAGATGGGGTTGGTTTAATTGGTTTTATTTTTTTTACGTGGTGTGCTAACGGGATTGAATTAACGGATTTGCGTTTTGTTATTTGTATAAATACGTTTTGTTATTTGTATAAATATTTTTTATTGAAACGTATAAAATTAAACTTTAGTTATCATTTTGTACCAAGTGATAAGTTGTATGACCGTTTATGATAATTACTCGATAATCATTTAATGATTTGTTGTGAGTTCGATCTTATTGTGCCGATTAATTTGGATCCGTTTGAACCCAACCGATATGGATAGAGCAACCCCCAATCCATAAAATGAAGATCAATACAATCATTGAACCCCAATTGAGTCTGAACTAAAATATCATTTGAGTCTGAACTAAAAATAGATAAAGTCATTAGGTTTAGTTTGCATCAAAATGATTCGCTGAGTACGTTGAGATGGATTCTTTAATTTTCTGGTTTTCCTCAATATGATCAAATTCATGTTAACATCAATATACCATGTTTCATGATCAAGGTTCTCACAAGAAGAGGGGATTTTC